ATACAATGTTCAGTGTATTCACATATATATATTTTTCTATATGTTTAAGCCTTTCAAGATAAGTTACAGATTTCATTATTATTATTTTCATTGAGTTTACTGGTGCATTTTAGGTATATAGTACAGTTACACTCATCATTGGGATCTTGTACCTTTACATGGTGTCTCTTCGTTCCCCACACTTTGTTTATTCAGATGAATGGGCTTCATTTTGAGAGATTTGTGCATGATATAATGTACTTTGACACTTTTTACAAAGTACCAGGAGGCTCTAGAGATGCTTTTGGTTGTTTTGTGGTCAGCTTTTCCTGGAAAGAACACCAGGCTGCAGCTAAGCTTACTGGGACAACTCAAAAAGGCCACCTGGTGATTCATGGAGATGCAAGGTTGCATAAGGCCCTCTGCAGCTCAAGGGTCCTGGGGTGCATCCAGGAGCCCGAGACGGATCTTCAGATAGGACCTCAAATGTGGGCCAGCAAGCCTGCTGACTCACAACTTCTTGGCCCAAGCTCTGGTTCAGCTGTGGCTGCCCTGAACAATTCCTCGAAGGCCCTCACTCATTTCTGGGCTGTAGGGTCCCTTGAGGAAACTGTCCTACTGCGACTGGGCTCCTGTGGGACTCTGTGTGCTGTCAGCTGCCAGGAGCTTTCCAGGCAGATGCCCAGCATGGAGGTTATACTTTTGGGGATGCCCTTAACTCTTGATCAGCAGGGCATGGGGCCAGTGGGTGAGGATGAATGCGACGTTTAGTAATGGATTTTCATCTGGAAGATGGAATTGAGTTTGAGGGCAAGAGTGGTGACAGGGAGGATTTTAATTAGGGTCCCGTCTGCTTTGGTGATCATATGGAGGTTAGACTGGAGGAGAAGTAAACAGGGAAGGGGCGGATGCCAGGAGTCAACTACAACTGTCCTGATTAGAAGCAAACTTTAGCCCAAATTATTATCTTTTGAGCCAAGATCTCTGATTCCATTCTGGGAATTCCTTTCTAAGATAGCTTTTCTGGTTTACCTTATGGGATTTTTAAAGGAAGTTATTTTTGACAGATAGTTATACATACTCATGCATTACAACGTTATATTCTGATTCCCACATATACTGGGGACTGATCGAGTCAGGCTAATGGATGCGACCACAGAGATCTTTTCACCAGGCTGCTTCTCTGGGAACAGCTGCTGCTTAGGACCGACCCCAGGCTATTTCAAGAGGAGGCCTTTTCCCTGTTTGCTCATTTGGTTAAAGGCTTTATATTCTAATGCTGGGACCCATGTATCTCAAAGCTATTTTCCTCAAACACTTATCTGCTTAGATGCCCCTGAAACAAAACAAGAAGAATTCTATGACGGCAAGACAATGAACAAATTGTCGCCACTTGCACATGCAGAGATGTATCTCACCGAATTTAATATGGGTCAAAGGATATGGGACCAAAGAATACACACTCCATTTATGACACTGAGAAAACTAACTATGGTTAAGACAGGTAGGAGTTAACTTGGGGGGCATCTGATGAGTGGGGTCTTTGAGTGCTAATTCTGGTCAGAGTGCTGGCTACTTGGTGAACTTTGTGAAAACCTATGAACTCTGCAGTTATGGTTTGTGCTCTTTTCTATTTGTTATAATGCATTAAAAAGGGGACAATAAGAGCAAATGGTTCTTATTGACCCTCAATCTGAGGTCGAGGTTGGGTTCTCTACTACTTTGTAAGAACTGTTAATTTATTTCAGTTATCTTTTCAGACCCATTTTAGCATATGTGCTGCCGAAGCGAGCACATCAGACACATTTTAGTGCCGTGGTGACTTTGATTCTCCTGGGTTTGTCTCTTTGTAAGCTGTATTTAAGGGGTTGAAGATCAAACGCATCAGTGGCAGCCAGCAGCAGAAAGAAACGACAGCCAGGGCTGGGCCTGAGACGTCCAGGGAAGAAGTTGGATCATTGACCCAGAGAGCACAGAGAGCACAAAACAAAGCACCTTTAGGGCTGTAGTGTTACCTGGGCCCGCGTTTTATTGCAAAAAAGGCCACCACGCTCCACAAAATGTGGAAGAGCAGCCAAGAAAAGGCAGGGCACGCCCACAGAGCCGGAAGGGGAAGTTGAAATTGAACATGGAAATTGTGAAAGCCGGTGTCATCTAGACACCGACCCACCCCTAGGCCATCGGGTCTGGGCCCCATTTGGTATTCCAAGGGAAAAAGTTTTGGCAGAAAAGTCCCATATTCATTAGGAAGGGGTGGAAAATGGAAATAATATAGACGGGTGAAATTCGTGAACTATTTTGCACTCGACAAAAATCACATTTAACTGTTATGTATTGATGGGTTTGAAACGCTCAGTGCGTTTATCTTTGCCAGACAGGCTGAACTGGCAGGTTTTTATTTCCAACAGCAGAACTTACCGCTCGCGGGTCGGTGCCCCTGTCGGTTTGGGGACTGTCACAGAAGGCGAGACCCCATTCCTGAGGTCACCACTTCCTCCTGCCGGTAGGGAGAGCTGAAGTGGTGTTGACGATACTGTCCTCGGAGTCTCCCCTGCACATCTGGATTGTTATGCTCACCCAGGAGGTTGCAGGAGGAAGACAGATTGACCGATAAGCAGAAAAGGGAAACTGCAGAGCCACAGCTGTGATGGCAAAAATAGAACAACTGCTTGGTGGAATGCAGACCTCATCTGGATAAACGCCTTAGCCTGTCCCAAGGGGAATGCGCCTCCACAAGCATTGATCGCGTAATGTTTACTGTGCAAAACACTTGTGAAGAAAAGATGAACAGAGGAGAGGGTGGCCTCTTGGATCATGGGAGAGATGAATATGCACAAAATTATAGTAAGTGCCAGTGCCTGAAATACAGAGATGGCTTCTGAGTTAGAATGAAAGAGCGACGAGCTGTCCTGCTGTTAGGGAAAGCTATGAGTGCGAACTGTGAAGGTAAACAAGGTGAGGAACGACATTCCAGGATGAGCACCAGTAAAGGCACGGAGGCCTGGATTTCCACGGGAGAGACGGAGGAGTGAGAAGTCTGGATTAGGAGCACTTGGGGGAGATGGGGAGGCTGGCACTGGAGCAGGAAATCGAGGCCAAGGCTGGGTCTGAGTTGTCCTGGGAAGGAGTCAGATTTTCAACCCACAGCCCAGTAGAAAGATTAGAAAAAGGAGTAGTATGACTTTTCTTATGTTGCAAGGAGGTAAGACAGCAACCATGTGGATAGTGTGTGGCAGGGGAAAAAGCATGCAAGACTAGTCAGGATCCAACATGCAGCAGGAGACAACTTTTGGGAATTCAGAATTCATCTTGTGTTTCATTGGCATGCATGTAGTAGAATACTACACCAGTAATCTGTTGACTTAGTTTAATGATATAGAAGGACGTGCAAAAGATTTAATTGGAAAAAGCTTACAGAAACAGGGCTGGAGGGATAGCTCAGAGGTAGAGCGCTTGCCTAGTATGTGTGAATCGCTGGGTTTCATCTACAGCACTCAAAACAATTCATAAAAACATGCGCAATGATGTTCCATACCTATCCTCCTCCATAGAAAAGAGGGTGAGACAATGGGTAGTATACCAAAATGTGAGCTGTGCTATTTACTTGCTTATAGGGTTTTGAGTACTTTGGGGAGGGGCCAACTCAGGTGCCCAATGAAGAATATAATGTCCCTTTTCATATTCAGACCTTTATAGGAAACTAGTGGGTGAATAATCTGGCATTTCGAAGTCAGAGGAAACCACAGAGACTGTAGAGAAGGGTTAAAAAGTTAGAACATTGGGCCGGGGATTTAGCTCAGTGGTTCTGGCGCCTGCCTTCAAGGACCCGAGGTCAATCCGCGGTAACAAAAACAAAACAAACAAAAAAAAAAGTTAGAACATAGAAATAGAAAACAAGAAATATGGCAGCAGAACACAGAAATGGGATTACCAAACCGAGGAGAAGACAAGAGATCAACTTTATTCAAAAAGTGTGTGTGAATGCTTATCTCCAGGTGCTTTTCCAGCCAACCCTACTGTCAAGAGTCCAAGGGTGCTGCCTGCAGGGACTGTTGTCTGCGTATTCTCTTAAGGACCCTTCTAGCTATGAGTCCTTGTATCTTCAGGTTCCACTGACTTCATACTGGAAGAGAATTAACAGTCTTGCCTCATATTATTTCAGATATTCTTTCAAGGAATACGCTCTTGAAATATTTCTCTAAAAGGATGCATATTTAAATATGGAAGTATATTTTTCCAGCTTCATAAGACAAAAAGTGGTCAGCTCCAAGATGGAGTCTATACTTTTGGATGATAAAATTGATTTGCAATCCTGTAGGACTGACTGATTTTCGTAATTTAGAATAAAGTCCCATAGAGGGGTTGGAGTTTGATGAAGTAGTTAAGCAAAAAACCTGGGAGTTTATTACTGAAAAAGAAGAAAATGTGTAGAATTACTTAGATGGATTTTCCAGAAGGCAAATGAGTTTTTGATAAAGACATCAATAGTCACATTGCTATCAATTATTTCACTGTTCCAAGAAAACGAGGGTCAAAGGAAGGTGCAAAGTCAGAGCTTACTGTAACCTGGGGCAACCTGAGGACAACAAAGACCCTTGTGAGGGCATTGCTTTGCTTTTCCATGTGAAATTTTCAGCTGGTTTTCTTAAAAAGGAACATATGTTCTGGGGTCATCTAGTCGTTGGACACCCAGGATCAATTCTTATGCTAGAGAAAATGAAATGTAGCCATCAGAACCAGGAAAACTTGCCTGCCACTGTCCTGCTGAGGGGCCTTTTGAAAATCTCTCAGCACTCCATGCCTATTTCCTCCTCTCTTTTTCATAAAGATGCTGGGAAGATCTCTGATAGAGAGGAGTACAGCTTGGAGGTCCTGGGAGAAAAGAGGCGTTGATATGTGTCGCTCAAAGTGGACTCTTCATATGTCCTTGCTTGCGTGAAGGTATAAATTCTCCTGGACCTTGATGTTGCCCTGTGAGTACCTCCTTGTCTAGCAGAACACTCTTAGCCACTCTCCTTCCCAGGGCTTGACGAAAGGAGCATTGTTGCACCCTTTTTCAGAAGCACCTCCTGCTGCCGTGTTGGCCTTCCTCTCCGAAAGATGTGTGTGAAAGGAGCTTTGAGCTATATCCTTCTTTGAGGGGAGAGTCATCTGATCACTGTGCTGCTATCAGACGCCAGTCGTTTCCAGTGAGTGACCCTCCCCTGACCCACCAGGCTGCCGGGCAGCACACAGAGAGCTCGGTGGAGCACTTTAAGCAAGGCATTGATTCAGGCAGCAGAAATCTCTCCTGCCACGACCTTACTGGTCTTTCTCGGGATTCACTCAGAATCTATCAGGGACCTCTGCTCTGTGATGTTTTTGGGGGAAGTAATATATCTTCATTAGGATTTAGAAGTAAATAACTTCTTAAAGCTCCAAGAAGGAAACGATTTGTCTTGAACACGGTGGTTGTGAACTTTACAGAGAGGTGAACAGCTAGCTTTAAAAATTTTTTTCTCAGCAAAAGCTAAAGATGATGAATGAAATGCCAACAGCTAAGAAGACCTCTTCACAACAGGGAAGGTCTTTGGAAGAATTGTAAATCAATGCACACATAGTTACCTGGCTAAGGAGCACTTGCTTACTCCTTCACAGGAAGTTACACACACACACACACACACACACACACACACACACACACACACGCGCTCGTATGCCCCTCCCACTGTATCTTGCAGAATTAAAGAGTTACTATCCACGACATCACAGGAACTTACCTTGCAAATTACATTTGCTCTGGGTCTTCAGCAAAGGGGATAAGCTGTCTCTGTATGCCAGGTAAACCATTCATAAAAGAAAAAGATTGTCCTCCAGAGGTACGCTAGTAAGTGAGGGCATGGACAGTTTTTTTTTTTTTTTTTTTTTTTAACTTTTCCTCCACATGGAATTTTTTAAATACTTACTTGGACATTGTTGGGGGAAAGCATTATCATCTAGTAAGGATGTGTATTTGTGGGAAGATTTCCTGTACCAGGTTTTATTTACCTACAGAAATAGAGTCTGTTTGATGTAGCAATAACAATCTGAGGCATACTACCGATTTGATTAATTACAAATCTTCATGTTCATCCTGTTTTTGTTTTTGTAGCACTTTGCCAACCTATTCATGTGTCATTTAATGCCAATAATTAATCAAACAAACAAAAAAACTAACTATGTAAGTGTGTAGTACTCTTGGCGAGTAGTGTGAGAAAAAGTGATTCACCTCAGAATGGTTTGCCATGTGACTTGGTCTGGTGGATGTTTGAAAAATGCTCTGTATTTGTGCCACAGACTTTTGTATGTGTCTTACATACATTGTACCATTTCATCTTTTAAACAACTTGGGTGACAGGTATTATTACTTGATTCTATACACGAGGAAAGGAAAGAATAGAGAGCACAAGTCATGTGAACAGAGCATCTTGGCAATAATTGCCAGAGGCGATGTGCAGTCCATCATCACGAGTCCAGAGCTCTTGCAGCAGGCTTGCTAATGCCCTCATCACACAGAAAGTGTGGGGTGGTCTGTACTACAGCTGACAGGAGAATGGACCAAACAGGTCCCAGAGAGCATACTGTTAGCCTTGGGATATACAATTAGGTGGGAGACAGCGTACCTCCCACTGTGACTTAAAGATGGATAAATACACACTCTTATAAATTAATTATACTCCAGAGTCATTTAGAATTGCCAAAAAGTAAATTAAAAAAATATTTAAGGGAGTTGAATAAGATGAGCTATAAATATCTTTGTTGCAAAAAAAACCTTGGAAGATGCCGGGACAAGGAAAATAATAGAAATTTAGTTGAATAATCCATGGAGTGATTTTTTTTTCTTTAAAAATTTTCCTTCTAGTGAGAGGATATCTCACTCATGGAATTCATCAGATTTAGACAGATTATTTAACGTTGGGGTTGAGGGGAAATCGGCCTGAGCGTTGACCTTGCAGCTCCCCTGGCTTTGCTTTGCTGCGGCGGGCTTCCTCTGCTGTGGGCCTGTGTGGAAGCCCTCCTGAGTCTCGCGGGGCTCATCCTGCAAGGTGAATGCACAAAAGGAAGACGTTCCAGGCTAACTAAAATTGGGTACTTGTGACCTTAACAAAACAGGAGCTCGAAGCCCAGGTCGAGTGACCGTTCCTGTATCTTTGAGTTTATGGTCACAGCTACCGTGGTTATATGGGAGAGACATTAAGGAATGAAAGGGAGGAATCTGAGAAGTTTGAAAGAAAAGAGTATTGTCGAGGGCATTGGTGGACCATCCCTGAAGAGTTCTGCTTTGGGGATGGATTCTTGGATCACTTTAGCTCATCACGGGAGGCTAGAAACATGGATTATAGAAGAAACATCCACCGAAGCCCACAAATCCATGAAACCTATTCTAAGATTTACGATGCTAAAGCTGAATTAAATGTGCTCAGACTCACGGGAACAAGTTCTAATATTCTTACATGAAATAAGAGTCTCCTAGAGAAATCACAGCTAACAGAAAAGCTGCAGCCTGCTTCTAATCTTACTGGCAAAGAGCTGAATTTGTTCCTTCCACACATGCAGCACTTTTCTCTGGACTAGAGCAGGAATGTGCATTTGAAAATAAGAAATCTTCTTTCCCATGGGCTCTAGGCTTTAGGAACAACTATTTGTGAAGCTACAGGGATTTGGATTTATTATCAGCTTTATTTAAAGAGTCGGTATGCCAGGAGTCACTGTAGAAGGGTTGGGATGTAGCTCTGTAGTAAGGCACTTGCCTGGCATGGGCAAGGCCCTGGGTTCAATCCCCCTCCCATTCAGTACAGTAGAACAGGAAACAAATAAGGGGTGGAGAATTGGGGGAGTGCTAATATTAGTTATCACCTCTCTTACCGTTTTCTGGAAATATTCTCCACCCCTGACCTGACTTAGTCACCCCCTGTGGGTTTTGAGTTCTTCCCCCTGGATCTGGTCTCCACTTCAAGAGCCCCTGTTTTGTAATAGGTGTTGTTTTGCTTTCAGTTCTATAGTTGATGCTTTTTAGACCAGTTTGGCTTTCCAAACTGTTCGTTCACATTAATGAGAACAGATCCTCAGTGCCTAACGTGATTTTTTCTTTATTACACAGTAATATGTACTTACCACAGAAAAATGCAGCTGAGCAAAACAAGAATCCAAAGAGGGAAGGGAGAAGATATAAAATCTACCATAATTCTGTAACACAGAAGCATCGATATTAACCATTTGATATATATCATTCAAGTATATATTTGTCAAAATGGATTCATACAGTTAGGAGCACTTGTGAATCTACTCTTCTCACTTGATAAATCAAATGTTTCACTACTATATCTTTACCAAGGCACCCAAAAAGGCTGTGTATTACACTGTCTAATGGGTGTTAAGTAATTGACTTGAACTCCCTATTTGAAAAATATTGTAATTTCTAATTTTCCAGTATTATAAACAACACTGTAATGAGTATCTTTTGAGCTATATCACTGGAAGAGTCATGATTATATCTGTAAAATTAGGATTATTTCTGTAAGTGGGATTTTATGCCTTTAAGAAGATTACTATATA